TCAAAAAATACTCACACTGACATGTTGTAACAAGTCACCTGCTTACACTTTATTCACCTGTTTTTGCACCAGTTATAGACACTCCTATAACTATCTGTACGGTCACATTTACTTAACTTCTCCCCGGTCTTATCTCTTCTGCACCTCACTTATCCTGTACTCAGCAGCTCTGCTCTCAGCAACTCCGCACATAGCGTCTTGACACTCAGCGACTCCGCACACAGCGTCCTCGCACTCAGCGACTTTACACACAGCAGCTCCATACTCAGCGACTCTGCACACAGCAACTTCGCATCTCCACCGCTGCCCTCACCTATGCTCTCTCAGACCCGCTCACCCATCAGCCAACACCCACCCGGTGGCAGCGTGAGGATTGCGGTCCCGTTGACGGCTGGATCAGCAGGGGTCAGATGTCTTCACTCTTGGTTCCGGGCAACAACTCCCCTCGCTCACACACACTCCCGCTTATATCCCCCGGCTCATCCTGAGTCCTCACGTGCTTCTACATAAGCTGCTGCCAGGCCGGTGCCAGTTGTCCCGTTAATCTATTATCATCACCCCCTATCTCCCGTCTGCTAAGCACCAACCTCCGGTCACAGCATAGCACCTGTTCAACCTTAGTTGCACCCGCTTCTCCCCTTAATAACTAGCAGTTTAAATTCCATACACCCAGCCATCATATTTACCATGGAGGTCGAAAAAGATAGCAAACTACCCTTTTTGGATGTCTTAATTAAAAGGAGACATGATGGTTCAATGAGCCACTCTGTCTACAGGAAAGCTACCCATACAGATGCTTACTTGAAACCGGATTCCCACCACCATCCATCCCAGAAGAACTCCCTCATCAAGACTCTATACCATAGAGCCCAATGCATTTCCGACCAGGAACACATTACCAGTGAACTCAAGCACGTACACCAGGCTCTCAGGGCTAATGGTTACTCCGACTACACAATCCGCAAAGCCATCACTCCAGTCATGAAGAAGGATCCTCTTGTGGAGCCACTCAAAACCATCACCTTATCCTACATTGCAGGGGTCACTAAAAAGTTCTCCAAAATCCTGAATAAACACAAGATCCAGGTCCGATTCAACACAGTACATAAAATCCGTGATCTAGTTCCATCTGTAAAAGATGCTGTTCCAGACATACAGTACCCGGGCGTTTACAAACTAAAGTGCCTCTAGGTAGTAGCTACATTGGAGAAACCAAACGACATATCTCGGACCGCATCCGCGAACATAAAGCAGACTTGAAACACGGTAGAACGAACTCCTCTGCCGTGGCAGATCACTGTTATAATTCAGTGGGCTCACATGACATTGACTTCTCCAAGACGGAGGTTCTTTGCAAACCAACCGGCTACCATGAGAGATTCGTTCATGAGGCCATTCACATATACAAGCACAGAGACAATTTCAACCGAGAAGTTGGATTCTGGCTTAGTAACCATTGGAAAGATGTTTTAAACCATTTCCGTTCTTAATTAATTGTATTTTACGATGACCTTCAGACCGCAGCTCTTTCGCTGGCATTGACTCTTAATACCTCTCACACCACGGTGTGAGAGGTATGGTTTACAACATGGAGTATAACAGCGCCTCGCAGCTGTCTCTCTCCCCCTCCTCTGTTCCGACCATGGATGAACTCGTCCGTCTGAACGGGACCCGTAGCTATCCGTGTTGCTAAAGTTTAGGGTAAGAATCCACCCATTTTTTCGCCATATAACATTGTGATATATAACGACTTATTGTTGGTAGCTTAGCTGATTGGAGAATATAGAGTTTATTGATAACATTGAGGTAATATATATTTTAGTTTTTTATTGGTTCACTATGTAGTATTCATTATATATTGTATTGTATACCCAGTTACTGTGAATAGCTCAGATGTGAAGGCCTTGACTTCAACATAGCCATTTCTGTGACCAGTCACAAGCTAATCACTCAGTTATTTCAATGCTAAATTCGCCTAGTTATTTCAATGCTAAATTCTCCTGTTTGATTTGTACTAGGTGCCTCGGTGAATGTATATGCTCTGACTTTAACATAGCTATTTCTGTAACCAGTTACAAGCTAATCACTCAGCTATTTCAATGCTAAATTCTATGCTAATTCCTTTGTCAAGGGGTGCCTCTGCGGATGTGTATACTTTAACTTAGCTATTTCAATGCTAAATTCTATGCTAATTCCTTTGTCAAGGGGTGCCTTTGCGGATGTGTATGCTTTAACTTTAACATAGCCATTTCTGTGACCAGTCACAAGCTAATCACTCAGCCATTTCAATGCTAAATTATATGCTAATTCCTTTGTCAAGGCGCTTTGTTTCTTCTCACACAGCTTAAAGGTTGTGATCTGAGCGTGGCTTTTTCACTCCAGCGCTGTCCTCCAGACAGTCTCGTCCTTTCACCTGATGAAGGCTGCTTGTGTTGTGGCCGAAACGTCGTGAGAATATTATTGTGTTATTTTATTTTATCAATTTATTATTTTATTCTCATTCTACGTGACTTTACCAAAAGAACCAAAGAATAACTGGCGGTTTATCCGTGCAAGCCTCATTTTGCCACACTCACATCTGTTCGACCTTAGTTACACTACTTACCTGTGTGCATAGCATATTTCTCTTCTTTACAGTAGTATCAATTATCACTAAATTAGTATATATTGACTATCATAGTATTTATTATCAATAAAGTAGTATATATTAACTATAGTAGTTTCTACTATCACTACAGTAGTATATACTTACTATAGTAGTATCTACTGCCTCCATATTAGTATCTACCGACTTGATATCAGTATACACCGATGGTAGTAGTATCTACTGACTGTAGTACTATCTACTGATTGCAGTACTATCTACTGACTATAGTAGTATCTACTAACTCTATATTAGTAACTACCAACTCTATAGCAGTATCTACTAACGGTGCAGTAGTGTATACTGACTATAGTAGCATCTGCTAATCCTATAGTAGTATATCAATAGTTTTCTGTCTGTCTGTCTGTGTGTGTGTCTGTGTGTGGACGCAGCTTGTGACAGATTTAACTCGCAAACTGTGGGGTTTGCATTTCAAAAAAGTACCCAGATACCACGCGATAAGCCCGGTGGTGAGCCAGCGCTATTCCTATTTCACATCCGTCGACTTTAAAGTAGTTAAATTAACAATTTAGTACTATTTATCATTTGGGCATGCACAAAAAAGCTGACCCGTGGTTGCCCTAGCAACGCACACACGCGATCGGTGGGGGGAGGGGGGAATTCTCATTTGCGTTGAAAATGCAAAAAAATACACACAACGCTGAGGTCAATTCTTCACAGTGTGATGTCCTCTTCTCCCCCCCTCCATGCTAATGTGTGCACTCACTACTATAGGGTCGGTAAATAATCCTATAGTCCATAGATACTACCGTAGTGTGGGCGGCGGGATAGTGGGGGGGGGGGGGGGATAGCGGCCCAGCCGGCCAAGGCACCACATCGGCCGGCTGGGCAAGCTAGGCGAGGCCGGGGGCTCTCCACAGGACTAGGCCTCCCCACAGCACTCTGTTAAGTTAGTGGTTCACTGCCATAGCGTCAATAAATACTATTGTAGAGTCGGTATATAGGACTATAGAGTAGGTAGATACTACTGTAGAGTAGGTAGATTAGTCCGATCACGATCTCAATACGAGATGGGTTACATTGGCTGCCCATCAAAACGTAGCATCCCTTACAAACTACTTCTACCCATTCCACAAGTACTCGATTGGCAAATGTTGTCGTGGGTTTACTCTCCAATACATAACTGGTTAGTGCTGTACAAGTAACGAATTGGTCACACGTTTTGTTTTCATGACAATCCTTTAGTAATTGGCTGTGTCAGGTGGTGGTGGATTCAACAATACAAATCTATATTTACCCAAAAAAAATACTTACGGATAATATTGGTCGTCCAATGCATTAAACTCATCCACAAGAGCATGGATCAATTCCACCCCAATTCTATCTCGGCCCAGCAGTGATACGAGATGGGTTACACTGGCTACCTATCACACATAGCATAGCTTACAAGCAATGTCTACAAGAGTCTGAATGAATACACCCCAATCCTATCTGGTATGAGACGGGGATACTTTGGCTGTGTTACAGTGCAAGAAAAGTCTGCGACCTCTTTTGCAATAATCCATGTAGTTTTGGTGATCTGTGCCTAACGCCTGATGCTCTGTACCGCCGTGCATTACGCTGATGCCTAGGCTGCGTGGATTTTCATGCAATTTTAAGTGTATTTGTTGTTGACGAAAGGCTTATTTTTTAAATTGTAACTAATTGTTAGTTTGTTATTACTAAGGATCATCAATTTTCCCAAAAAATATACATTGGCGCGTGCCCCTGTTTTAGTATTTTATATGTTCGTTTTGCACAGTTACAGAATAATAATAAGTAATCTATCCAGTTATCATTCCTGCATTTGCTATCGCTGTCAATAAGTCACAAGCACAAATGCCTTTCGAGTACAATGGCTTTGATCTCAACGAACCTGCTCTTTTTGTTCCACAACGGGCAACTTTACTCAGTTGCCGCTTTGCCAAGATGCAACGAAAATTTTCGACTAACGTCACCAAAGTGTGGATTTAACAACAACAACAAATTAATTCTTGAGGAAAACTTTTCGTGTAGATGACCGTCAAATTGTCTTACACCCAAACTTCACGTGTATTAGAGGGGGAAAAATAATTCGGATTAAATAAATTCAAACCCAATATTTACATTTCAGTCACGAAAAATTAAATTTTCATACGAACCCATCACGCGACGACGGGCAGTTACAGGAGTCACTTTAAAGATAAACTAACGACTCGGGGAGAGACAGAGAGAGGTTCGACTTTGCAGATGCATTGCCGGGGGGTCTGGTTGTTCACGAGCTCGGAGGGCGGCGACTTATAAGGAGGAGTTTGAAAGCGTAATGATGGGTCATGATACACCGCAGTTCTGCTGGGATGTGCTCTGCTCGGGTTACCTTTCCCACAATCGGAAGCCCGTATCGGTACCACGAGGGCATGTCGACGAACGAGATCCGGGATATGTCCGTCTCAAAGTTCTTCTCTGTCTTCTGTTTCATTTTCATTCCTGTGCAGGCGGTGTGGGGGGGGGCAAAGCAAAGAGCCTTTAACAGACTGTTGGGGCAAGTGCTGTGGGCGAGTAGCAGCACCTATGAAGGCTACCGGCACTGTGGCACACGAGGGGGTGGGTGGCCAGCACCACCCCCGGCCGCCTTTGTCTCCCCCCAGTGGCGATGTTTACACATTGCACCAGGTACTCATTTGAGGACAATTTGACCCAGGAGAAGCCCAGGAACCGGTTTAGATCATCGTCGCTGGTGTTGGCCGTGAGCGGGAAATTGGACCTGGGTTTGCAGTGCAACGCTAACTGCTACAGTACCGGGGGTGACAAAGATCCCCCATTTAGCCTTAACAACCCGTTGGCATGAGTGCCGTGAGCGAGTAGTGTCACCTAAGAAGGCCCTTCATAGGCGAGAGATGGTCTCGCACCATTAACCCTCCACCACCTGACGCGGCAGGGGTGGAGAGGGGGGGGCAGTGGGGGTGGGAATGTGGCAATCGATTTGGGTTTTGTTTTTTTTACCCTGGAAACGTTGGAAAAGCAAGCGAACGCTTTCAACTGGAATATCGAGCGTCGAAGCGGAGGAATGTTTCGGGGGGGGGGGGGGGGGGGGGGGGGGGGGGGGGAGGGGGCGTGGGGGGGTACTTTAGTGTTGTCGCAGATGTAAGGCAGATGGGGGGGGGCGATGTTGCTGCTGTCTGCGTGTGTGCCATTAACATCGAGGAATTCGCCGGTAATGTTCCAGCATCAAAAGTTTTAATTTTACAAAGCGTAAGGGCCCCACTGATTGGATTCGTAGCCCTTTTGTCAGAAGCCGGCCCCTGGCTATCGAAAATGATCGCCCAACGGAGTGGCATCTTATCATCACCATTATCACGTGGAAATGTATAGCGGCCAAACACTCTAAGACTTCATCATGGGACCTCCATTGCCAGTACAAAATATGAGAAGAGGTTTTCCCACTCACCCACACACACTAACCCACCCACTCACTCAATCAATGCGACCACTACGGGGAGAGAGACAGATGTGCCAAACTCCAAATATACAACGGGCATCTTCAGGGTCGGGGGATCGAAGCGACGGGCTCCTTGCATAGCAGGCGAGGTAGTCAACATCTCCCAGCCACCGAGGCAAAATATCATTCAAAACGAAATAAGATCGGCAATAACAAAAACAAAACCTGTTCCCTCCTCCTCCAGCACAGCCACGACTTTCAGAATGTGCGTCGTGTGACAGGAGGCGTTGCTTGGCTTGGCGTTGTCCACTTGCCACTCCGCGCATCCGTCCTTCCCCACCTGGCGTATCGGACGTTCGCGATGGGTCAGATGCAGAATGCGATGCGATCCGCAGTTTCGCGCCCTTCTGCGGCGTGCCCACTTTCGAATACCGCTCGCTTTGCGTTGAGACCTTTTTGTAAAGAAGCTCTGACGCGGTGATGAAGACAAGGAAGGTAAGAGCCTTTCATTAACAGTTTACCAAGGTGGGTGGGGAGGGGGGGGGCGTTTCAGAACTCTTGACGAGTAAGAGCTCCAGCGTAGCTGTGCAGCCTCCGTCTTTCGTCCCAGGCAAGCGCGCCTACGGCAGGCGACGCTCCCCCTTTAAATCTGCCTCCCAGTCCTGAAATCTCAGCCACCTGTCTCCTCCTCCTACGGTACCCTCTCATTGATCATCCCTTAACCGCATTTCCATCAGCGTCTGCGTTCTCCTCCATTGCAAACGTCTTTCAGTGGCTCCGGGTAACGTTTCTTCTCCGTTTCGTTGACGTGCGCCGAGGCAATTGCCGGGAGCAACGTGACCCGTGGCAACGCGAGGTACGCGCCGCCCGAGCCAATCGCCGCATCCCAACGGCATTGCCAGTGGCCAGTGCGGTACGATAAGCAAGTGCCGCTGCTCAACGGCACGGCGACCTCGCTGCGTCTACGCCTCCTTCGTCTCCCCAGCGCAAGGCGGGCAGAGTTACAAGCCGGGGGCCTAAACGCGGAGCTGCTGCAGATTTATAAATAACAAAAATTAGGTGCCAGGAGAAATTAGAGAGAGCACAGGTGAAAATTTTGATATAAAGCTTTCGTGACTGCAGGGATTCATATTACTGGTTCTTTCGGTAAAGTCACCACGTAGAAGGGAAACAAAATAAAACATAAAAAATATATAAATCAAAAAAATTCTCACGATGTTTCGACTACAACACAAGCAAGTGTGAAAACATTTTCTTGCTGTGGTTTTCACACCTGCTGATGATTGCTTGTGTTGCAGTCGAAACGTCGTAAGAATTTATTGTTTTATATATTTTTTATTTATTGTTTCCCTTCTACGTGACTTTACCGAAAGAACCAAGAATAAGAGTACAGGTTGTGAAGGGATAATGAATGAGAGGGTGCTGTAGCAAGTTGTTAAGAATGAAGGACCGAGTATTATATTGCGTATACGTGTTGTATCGATACAGGTTAGGATAATATCGGCGAGAATGTGTGCGAGCCGTTAGTGATATCCCCTAAACCCTTCAACATTAATTTTTTAAGGGGAAAATTGCTTTTTGACGTAACGCGACGTTGGAGCTACGCAAATCCCTTTCCAGGAGCGTATCTGTCCATGAACGTTAAGGAGTGCCCCGCATTAACTGTCTACTGGAGGAAATCTGAGAAGCTATGAAGCTCTTTTTTTCTACCGGATGTACCAGCAGTTTGTTTTTTCCCCACCAATGTCCAGTGGCCGAGATGGATTCTTCAGTGACATTTTTCAAGTAAAAAAAATAACAATTGTTCCGGGAGAAACCGGTCACTATGGATTAGTGGCCGTTAGCGGGAATCAAACTTGGGTCGCCGGGTTCCGTCGCGGGCTAAACGCTACACGACAGCAAGGCACAGCCAACCCTGCTCCGCACCGCCAACTCGCTTACTTCCTTGAAGAACTCGTTGCAGACTGGAGTGATGCAGTCTTCCCGCCACCAGAACCTGGGCTGACCCTGAATGCACACGCTTGCATTCACAGTACCGTGCACTGGCTTCCCGTACGTGTACCTGTGGACATGCAGAAAAGGCAAAATGACGAAATTGTACGAAAAAAATGAAACACCCGGCACTGCAGCTTAAATGAAATGGTTCCGATTATATATTGAGGTTCGGAATCTTTATTTTAGACTGGGGAAGGAGGAGGGGGGTGGAGGGGGGAAGGGAGGAGGAGAAAGGGGAGGGAGGAGGAGGGAGAGGGGGGAGGAGGGTGAGGAGGGGGGGGAGGGAGGAAGGGAGAGAGGAATCCCACCCACCCATTTTTTTTAACCCCACATCCATTCACATACAGACGTGATGTGCTCTCGTTTATGAGTTTTGTGTTGTCACGTTGATGACTCCTCAGCCTAATGCGGCTCTCGTCTTGGTCTCGTGAATTCTCACCAGGGTCACACAAAATCTACTTTCATTTAATAAAATACTGAAGTGTCTCATGCAGAAACTCATAAATACTGGCTAGATGCCTCTAACATGACCATTATGAACGCCCAGAGAAAGACACCCAGACCCAGGGCTCAAACCCAGGGTCTCATAAATACTGGCTAAATGTCTCTAACATGGCCATTATGAACCCCCAGAGAAAGACACCCAGACCCAGGGCTCAAACCCAGGACTCTTACATACTGGCTCAATGTCTCAAACATGGTCAAATGTAAACCAACCCAAAGAGAGAGAGACACCCAGATACAGGGCTCAACCCCAAGTTTTCATACATACTGGGCCAATGTTTCCAACATAGCCATTGTGAACCAATCAGGAAAGACACCCAGACCCAGGGCTCAAACTCAGGTTTTCGTGAATATTTTCTCAATGTCTCTGACACTGCCATTGTGAACCAACCCAGAGAGAAACTCAGCTCAGTGCATACCTGCCACAGACTTTCAGAGTGACACTCTCATCCAGATAGTTCAGGTAGGATGGCGTCTGAATGGAGACCTCGAAAGTTGGGAGCACTGCAATCAGAATGGAAACAACAATTATCGCGTAGCGATCATCATCATCATCATGTGCATGGTTAATTAAAATACACTGTGCACACGTAAAGCACTCTTGTCAATCCACTGCTGGATGATGGCCTCCCTGTTGCCACACAGAGACTCACAGACTCATGCAGAGACCCACAGACTCACACAGAGACCCACGGACTCACACAATGCCCCACGGACTCGCGGCAGAGACCCACAGACTCACACAGAGACCCACAGACTCACACAGAGACCCACAAACTCTTCACACAGAGAAACACAGACTCACACAGACACCCACAGACTCACACAGATACCCATAGACTCACACAGGCACCCACAGACTCAGACTCACAAAGACACCCACAGACTCCTCACAAAGAGACCCACAGACTCCTCACACAGAGACCCACAGACTCCTCACTCAGAGATACACAGACTCCTCACACAGACACTCACAGGATCGCACAGAGACCCAAAGACTCACACAGATACCCACAGACTCACACAGAGACACACACAGACTCACACAGAGACACACACAGACTCACACAGAGACACCCATAGACTCACACAGACACCCACAGACTCACACAGAGACACCCACAGACTCACACAGAGACATCCACAGATTCAACACACAGACACCCACAGGATCACACAGAGACCCACAGACTCCTCACACAGACACCCACAGACTCACACAGAGACCCACAGACTCCTTACACAGAGACCAACAGACTCAGCACATAGATACCCACAGACTCACACAGACACCCACAGACTCACACAGAGACACCCACAGACTCACACAGAGACACCCACAGACTCACACAGAGACACACACAGACTCACACAGAGACACCCACAGACTCACACAGACACCCACAGACTCACACAGAGACACCCACAGACTCACACAGAGACACCCACAGATTCATCACACAGACACCCACAGGATCACACAGAGACCCACAGTCTCCTCACACAGACACCCACAGACTCACATAGAGACCCACAGTCTCCTCACACAGAGACCCACAGTCTCCTCACACAGACACCCACAGACTCACACAGTGACCCACAGACTCCTCACACAGAGACCAACAGACTCAGCACACAGATACCCACAGACTCACACAGACACCCACAGTCTCCTCACACAGAGACCCACAGTCTCCTCACACAGACACCCACAGACTCACACAGAGACCCACAGACTCCTCACACAGAGACCAACAGACTCAGCACACAGATACCCACAGACTCACACAGAGACACCCACAGACTCCTCCCACAGAGGCAACCCCCTAGCCGCCCCCATGTGACATTTCGACTGAACGGACGTCGACCTCCTATCCACCGCCCGCCCCCCACAGCCCTTTCTCCCCTACCGTACTCCTCCACGGTGAAGGTGTGCGAGGCGACGACGTCCCCATCGCTCTGCTGCTCCAACACCGCCACGTTGTAGGTGCCCAGCGGCGGCTCGGAGGGCATGGCCAGCTCGAGCTGCACGATGCCCGCCCGGCCGCTCGCGTTCCTCCACTGCGCGATGCGGTTCCTCTGCGGGTCCTGCGGTGACGTGTGGACACTCAGGCGGTGCTGGTGTTGGTTGGGGTGGTGGTTGGGGTGGTGGTGTTGGTTGGGGTGGTGGTGCTGGTGTTGGTTGGGGTGGTGGTTGGGGTGGTCGTTGGGGTGGTGGTTGGGGTGGTGGTGCTGTTGGTGGCGGTTGGGGTGATGGCAGTTGGCGGTTGGGGTGATGGTGGTGGCAGTTGGGGTGGTGGTGGTGGTAGTGGTGGTTGCGGTGATGGTGGTGGTGGTGATGGTGGTGGTGGTGGTGCTGTTGGTGGCGGTTGGGGTGATGGCAGTTGGCGGTTGGGGTGATGATGGTGGTGGTGGTGACGGTGGTGGTTGGGGTGATGATGGTGGTGGTGGTGACGGTGGTGATGACGGTGGCGGTAGTTGTGATGATAGTGGTGGTGGTGGTGACGGTGGTGATGACGGTGGTGGTTGGGGTGAAGATACTGGTGGTGGTGGTGACGGTGGTGAATGGGGTGATGATAGTGGTTGGACGTGAAGACACTAGTGGCATCTACATCTGCAGAACGTGAAGAACCAGTGGCATCTACATCTGCAGAACGTGAAGAACCAGTGGCATCTACATCTGCAGAACGTGAAGAACCAGTGGCATCTACATCTGCAGAACGTGAAGAACCAGTAGCATCTACATCTGCAGAACGTGAAGAACCAGTGACATTAATTCTAGACATCTACAGAACATGAACCAGTGGCATCTACATCTGCAGAAGGTGAAGAACCAGTGGCATCTACATCTACAGGAGATTATACAACTTTCGAAAACATTCATCGTGTTGAGTGTAAATGCTGTACACCATGTTTGCAATCGACAGGAGGAATGTGGGACTTATTACAGATAATAATAAACTCTAATAATATAGGTATCCATTGCGGCATCTTACCTCGATATATATGAGAGCGTACTGCAAAAGATACGAAACACATAGCACGATTGGTTATCAACGGTCACACAGATATTTACTTGAACCGACGCTGGTGGAACTGCCCCCAGATGTTTATAGACAAGGTCCGGTTTCAACATTCAGTGTCTCATCAGCGGCAGCAGCAGTCAGGCTCTGCTAGCACCGACGCTGGTGGAAGTGCTCCAGATGGTTCCTGACAAGGTCTGGTTTCAACATTCAGTGTCTCATCAGCATCATCACCAGCAGGGTCGGGCTCTGCTCGAACCAAAGCTGGTGGATCTGCCCCCAGGTGTTTACAGAACCCACCCCTGGGTCAGGCGTGGAAATGGCGAGTCAGCGAAAAACGGCAATGCCCGGTTAAATATTACAAAGCCTTATCTGCACACATGGCCTCGCGTCGTCCTTGATGTCCGCTTACTTTGAGATTTGCTCGCCAACTTTGAGACACGTGTGGCTGTGTGTTTGTGTGTCTGCGCGTGTGTGTGTTTCTGTGTGTATCTGTGTGTGTGTGTGCATCTGCGTGTCTGCATGTGTGTCTGCGTGTGTTTGTGTGTCTGCGTGTGTGTCTTTGTGTCTGTGTGTGTGTCTGTGTGTGTGGGCAGCGGTGGTGTAGCAGTTAGCGCACTGTGCTACGAACCTGGCGACCCGAGTTCGATTCCCGCTCACATTTACGTTTGTGAACCAAATGGGTGCAATGCCGCACTGAAGGTTATAAGAACCATTTGGTTCAGAAACTCTTAGAGACGATGTCTTACCGTTTGCAAGACGGTTGCAAAATTCTCATCCAAGGTGACCACTCTGAATTTAACTGCACACACAGAGACACAAACAACGACAACCATCCCCCGTCTAGTGTGAACAGACTGTTGGGTCAAGTGCTGTTAGCGAGCAGCACATATGAAGACCTCTGTTTCAGTCTCTGTGTGAGTCTGTGGGTCACTGTGTGAGTCTGTGGGTCTCTGTGCGAGTCTGTGGGTCTCTGTGCTAGTCTCTGTGGGTCTCTGTGCTAGTCTCTGTGGGTCTCTGTGCGAGTCTCTTTGCGAGTCTGTGGGTCTCTGTGCGAGTCTGCGAGTCTCTGTGGGAGTCTATGGGTCTCTGTGTGAGTCTCTGTGTGAGTCTATGGGTCTCTGTGCGAGTCTGTGGGTCTCTGTGTGAGTCTGTGGGTCTCTGTGTGAGTCTGTGGGTCTCTGTGTGAGTCTGTGTGAGTATGTGGGTCTCTGTGTGAGTCTGTGGGTCTCTGTGTGAGTCTATGGGTCTCTGTGCGAGTCTGTGGTCCTCTGTGTGAGTCTGTGAGTCTCTGTGTGAGGGTCTCTGTGTGAGTCTCTGTGTGAGTCTGTGGGTCTCTGTGTGAGTCTGTGAGTCTCTGTGAGTCTCTGTGAGTCTCGGTGTGAGTCTCTGTGTGAGTTTATGGGTCTCTGTGTGAGTCTGTGAGTCTCTGTGAGTCTACGGGTCTCTGTGTGAGTCTTTGTGTGAATCTCTGTATGAGTCTGTGGGTCTCTGTGTGAGTCTCTGTGTGAGTCTCTGTGTGAGTCTGTGGGTCTCTGTGTGAGTCTCTGTGTGAGTCTCTGTGTGAGTCTATGGGTCTCTGTGTGAGTCTCTGTGTGAGTCTCTGTGGGAGTCTATGGGTCTCTGTGTGAGTCTCTGTGTGAGTCTCTGTGTGAGTCTATGGGCCTCTGTGTGAGTCTCTGTGTGAGTCTGTGTGTGAGTCTGTGGGTCTCTGTGCGAGTCTCTGTGTGAGTCTCTGTGTGAGTCTATGGGTCTCTGTGTAAGTCTCTGTGTGAGTCTCTGTGGGAGTCTATGGGTCTCTGTGTGAGTCTCTGTGTGAGTCTATGGGCCTCTGTGTGAGTCTCTGTGTGAGTCTCTGTGTGAGTCTCTGTGACGACCTCGCGTGCCGACGTGACAATTTTTTCTTCGCGCACGCAAAAAATTCCAAAATGTCATCGACCCGCTGGACAGAGCACGTCCACGCCGTGTGGGGGGTTGTTTATTATCGCGAACCGAGCGTTCGTGAGACGGACCGGATAACCCCCCCGCCTCCCTGCCAGATCAAATCACGATGGTGACCCCCTTTGTACGCGCATATGTGTGGGTAAGAGCCACTAAACTACTATACACTTCACTACCTTATTATACACTACACACTACACTACACTCTACAATACACTCCACTATAATACACTCCACTATACACTACACTGCTACACAATACTATTATACACTACATTATACACCACACTATTATACAATACACTATACTATGATCCACTACACTATACACTGCACTATACACTACATTATACACCACACTATTATACACTACACTAGTCACTACACTATACACTACACTATTATACAATACACTATACACTACACTATACACTACACTAGACACTACACTACTATACACTACACTATACACTGCACTATTATACACTACACTATTATACACATTTCACTATACACTACACTAGTATACACTATACTTGACACTAGACTAGACACATTACTATACACTACACTATTATATACTCCACTATACACCACAGTATTATACACTATACTAGTCACTACACTATAAACTACACTATTATACAATACACTACACTATACACCACACTAGACACTAAACACCACACTATTATACACTACACTATACACTACACTATACACTACACTATACACCACACTATTATACACTACACTATACACCACACTAGACACCACACTATTATACACTACACTATACACCACACTATAATACACTATACAATACACTACACTATACACGACACTAAACACTACACTATACACCACACTAAACACTACACTATACACCACACTATTATACACTACACTATACACCACACTAGACACTGCACTATATACTACACTATACCCCACACTATTATACACTACACTACTATACACTACACTACTATACACTACACTATACTACACCACACTATACACTACATTATACACTACACTATACACTACGCTAGACACTACACTATACTATACACTACACTATACACTACACTATACACTACACCAGACACTACACTATACACTACACACCACACTAGACACTACACTATACACTACACTATACTATACACTACACTATACACCACACTATACACTACACTATACACCACACTAGACACTACACTATACACTGCACTGCTACACAATACACTATACACTACACTATACTATACACTACACTATACACTACACCACACTAGACACTACACTATACACTACACCACACTATACACTACATTATACACTACACTATACTACACCACACTATACACTACATTATACACTACACTATACACTGCACTGCTACACAATACACTATACACTACACTATACTACACCACACTACACAATACACTACACTATACACTACACACTATACACTACACTATACACTACACTAGACACTACACTAGACACTACACTATACACTACACTGCTACACAATACACTATACACTACATTATACACTACACTATACACTGCACTGCTACACACTACACGGTGGTGTAGGCGGGTCAGCGCTGCGCTGCAAAACCCGGCGACCCGAGGTCGATTCCCGCTCGTGGCCATCACCGGTGACGTCATCTGCATCGGCACCCCGGGCCTCCCCGAGTGCGATGTGCAAAACAGCAGCGCCACGGGGGAGACAAAGGCGGCCGGGCGTGGTGTTGGCCACCCGCGGTTTAAGCAACCTCGGCCCTCTTCCTCCTCCTCCCCAACACTTAAACTCCCATCCCCCCTTCCCCCCCATCAAATAAATAACGAATAGAACACTCGACATTCCTGTAAAGTGCTTCAACAAAGGCGCTGCGTGTAAATTCCTCGATAGGTTAATGTAAGGTGCTGCTACTCGCTAACTAACAGCACTTGCCCCGACGGTCTGCTAGAGGCTACACGGGGGATCTTTGTGTATAGGCGCTGCTGCTACTCGCTACTACTAACAGCACTTGCCCCAACAGTCTGTTAGAGGCTACACGGGGGATCTTTGTCTGTGTATAGGTGCTGCTGCTACTCGCTAACAGCACTTGCCCCTACAGTCTGTTAGAGGCTACACGGGGGATCTTTGTCTGTATATAGGCGCTGCTGCTACTCGCTACTACTAACAGCACTTGCCCCTACAGCCTGTGAGAGGCTACACGGGGGATCTTTGTCTGTGTATACGTGCTGCTGCTACTCGCTACTACTAACAGCACTTGCCCCGACGGTCTGCTAGAGGCTACACGGGGGATCTTTGTCTGTGTATAGGCGCTGCTGCTACTCGCTAACAGCACTTGCCCCTACAGTCTGTTAGAGGCTACACGGGGGATCTTTGTCTGTGTATAGGCGCTGCTGCTACTCGCTACTACTAACAGCACTTGCCCCCTGCAGCCTGCTAGAGGCTACACGGGGGATCTTTGTCTTTGCACACACACAGACACACACAGACAAGGCCCCCCCGTATAGCCTGAACAAACTATTGTGGAAAGGGTGGGTGGGTGTGGGAGTGGGGGTGGGGGTGGTGGGAGGCCTTCCCATTCACCGCTCTGGCCGGGCTTGTAGACGGGCTTGTCCGTCTGCACGAAGACGACGTTCTTGGCCCTCCTCACCACCACCGCGTGCTTCTTGCTGAAGTTCAGCCCCGCGCCGGCCACCCGCACCACGAGGTCGGCTTTCGTGGTCCCCTGGACGTCGGGGACCTGCGACATTGTTCGCCGCGCGAGCCGGAGGGGTCGACGTCAACGGGGGTCGTCGCTCGCCGTTCGACCCGCAGGCGGCCGCCGTCGTCGTCGTCACGGCGATCGTCGTCACGGCGATCGTCGTCGTCGTCACGGCGATCGTCGTCATCATCGTCATCAACCACGTGACCTGCTGCTGATCGACTCATTCTTCCCGCTTGGCCCCGCGGTCTTCACTCCGTTCGGTGTGCGTGTGTGTGTACGTGTGTGTGCGTGTGTGTGTACGTGTGTGTTGGTGTGTGTACGTGTGTGTACGTGTGTGTACGTGTGTGTGTACGTGTGTGTGCGTGTGTGTACGTGTGTGTACGTGCGTGCGGCAAAACAACCCCCTACCTCCTCGCGGTGCCGGACGGGCAACTCTGTCGTGGACAGTGCTGTGGTAGGGAGGGCGAATTTCGATTGGTTCCTCCCCTCATGGCATCTGTGACCACCACAGTGGCTAAACGGGGGCTCTGGACGGGTGCGAGGGGCTGGTAACCCCTCCACCTTCAAAAAATTACCACGAAACTACGACTTAAACTTAAATATGTAACTAATAAGCTTGTGCCGGAGGCCCCGGGGGGACAGGCGTCTATGACGTCTCCTGGCCAAACCCCAATAGGTGGAGCCAGGAGATTGAATCTCAACCCTCGGGGCTCCTCCAGAAACAACGAAAAGCCATTACGGATGGCCACGTGGAATGTTCGAACGCTCACTGCGGAGGAGAGGCTGCCACTCCTCTGTCGGGAGCTGGACCGGTACCGCCTGGATCTCTGTGGCATTCAGGAGGTCCGGTGGACCGGTTCTGGCTCCTGCCACCATGAGGGGTGGACAGTCCTCTACTCGGGGCAGGAGACTGCCAAACAACAGGGTGTGGCTCTTCTTTTGAACAAAAAAATGAAGGGGGCGTGGGAGCGTGGCGGTGAGGTGTGGGAAGCTGTAAGACCCAGGCTACTTTGGGCTCGCCTTCCCATCAATCGGAGGCGAGGATTGGTGGTCGTGGTTACTTATGCCCCCACCGAAGACCAACATCCGTGGAGGGATGCAGGCAAAGCCGATGAGGCAGATGCCTTCTATGACCTCCTGTCACAGGTGCTGGCTAAAGTGGCCCCTCGGGATAGAGTCATCTTGTTGGGTGACTTCAATGCCCGAGTTGGTCATGATGCTGGCACCTGGCCTGGAGTGATTGGAGGGCATGGGCCGGATCAGCTTAATAACAATGGTAGGAGGCTGCTAGACTTTTGTGCAGCCCATGGACTTGTAATTACCAACACGCTGTTCCGGCATTGGCGCATCCACACAACATCATGGATGCATGCCGGGTCCAAGCAAGAACATCTGCTGGACTACATAGTGACGGACCAGCGGATGCGAGCCCATGTCCTTGACACCAGGAGCTACCGTGGAGCTGATCTTCCCTCTGACCATCGACTTGTCATCTGTAAGATGCGCCGCCCATTCTTCCGCTCCGGTGGTAGGTGTACACCCAGGACCCCATTCCAACCAAAATTGGCCTGGTCTCGGTTACCTGATGAAAGTTGCAAGCGAGAATTTCATCATCGCCTGCGGCTGGGGTTGGCATCGTCCCCCACTCCTCCTGATGTAGAGGGTAAATGGGCGAGGTTTAGAACTGTGACTCATGCAGCTGCAATGTCTGCTTTGGGTACACGGTCAGGACCTCCCCAGATACCCTGGCTGACAGAGGAGGTGTTCAGGATGGTTGAGAAAAAGCGACAGGCCCACTGTCATCGGCTACAGAATCCCACGTCAGAGAATGAGGAGGCTTACCGCAACCTTCGCTCGGAGGTTCGGAGAGCCGTGAGGCGCTGCAAGGATGGGTGGTGGTCGCGGGTTGCTGAGGAGATGGAGTCTGCCTCAGTGGCCCGCGATCACAAATCTCTATTTAACTCCATCAAAAAAGTATCCTGCAGCGCCACACCTATTACCATCATTAGGGGAAAAAACGGTGATCCAATCTCTGACCCCCAGGAACAGGTTTGCAGATTTGCTGAGCATTTCTGTGAGGTCCTGGGGAAGGGAAAATCCCTCAGCCAGGAAAACATCTTGGCACAAAGTGAGGATGACCCTGCTGAGGCTGCGGTGCCTCAAATATTGGAAGAAGTCACCCCCTGTGAGTGGCTGGCTGAGGTGCCATCTGTTGAGGAAGTACTGAGGGCGATCCGGAGTCTGAGACCAGGAAAGGCAGCGGGCAAAGATGATCTCCCAAGCGAAATGCTGAGGGAAGGTGGAGTTTGTGCACAGACTGCCCTATATGACATCATAACAACAGTCAGGACCACTGGACGGGTTCCGTAGGATTGGAAGGATGCCCTAGTGGTCCCCCTCTTTAAGAAGGGGGAACGCACAGATTGTAACAACTACAGGGGCATTTCACTCCTCAGTGTGCCGGGAAAGGTCCTGGCAAGGATTATTCAACATCGCCTTGCCAGGCACGCTGAGGAGAGGCTTTCGGAGCCCCAGTGCGGTTTTAGGAAAGGGCGGTCCTGCACAGATGCCATATGTGTGTGTGCGTGTGTGCACGTGTGTGTACGTGTGTGCGCGTGCGTGCGCGTGTGTGTACGTGTGTGTACGTGTGTGTGCGTGTGTGCACGTGTGTGCACGTGTGTGTGCGTGTGTGTACGTGTGTGTACGTGTGTGTGCACGTGTGTGCACGTGTGTGTGCGTGTATGTGCGTGTGTGTACGTGTGTGTACGTGTGTGTGTACGTGTGTGTGTACGTGTGTGTGCGTGTGTTTACGTGTGTGCACGTGTGTGCACGTGTGTGTACGTGTGTGTGCGTGTGTGTGTACGTGTGTGTGTACGTGTGTGTGCGTGTGTGTGCACGTGTGTGTACGTGTGTGTGCATGTGTGTATGTGTGTGCCTGTTGTGGGGAGCGATAGTGTAGCGGTTAGCGCGCTGCGCTATAAACCTGGCGACCCGGGTTCGATTCCCGCTCACGGCCAACACCAGTGACGATTATCTGAACCGGTCCCGGGCCTCCCCTAGGTCGACTCAGCCTCAAATGAGTACCTGGTGCAGTGTCTAAACATTGCCACTAGGGAGACAAAGGCGGTCGGGCGTGGTGCTGGCCACCCACCCCCTCGTGTACCGTTCCGGCCTTCATAGGTGCTCGCTAACAGCACTTGCCCCTACAGTCTGTTAAGGCTATATGGGGGATCTTTGTTTGTTGTTGTCTTTGTGTGTGTACGTGTGTGTATGTGTGTGCCTGTCGGTGGGGAGCGGTAGAGTAGGGGTTAGCGCAACATCGGTCACGATTATCTGAACCTGTCCTGGGCCTCCCCGAGGTCGACTCGGCCTCAAATGAGTACCTGGTGCGGTGTGTAGTAAACATCGCCACTGGGGAGACAAAGGTGGTCGGGCGTGGTTGCTGGCCACCGTCCACCTCGTGTACCGTTACGGCCTTGATAGGTGCTCGCTAGCAGCACTTGCCCCTACGGTCTGTTAAGGCTATACGGGGGATCTTTGCCTTGTGGCATGAAGGCCGGCACAGGAGAGATGTTAAGGAAGGAGGGATGAGGGAAGGAGGGATGAGGGAAGGAAGAAATGAAGGACGGAAGGAAGCAGGGATGGAATGAGGGAAGTGTAACCAGTGAGAACTCTCACCTGTGATGAATCGCACCGTGTGTAATTGTGCACTCTGTAGCATATGGGAAGCTAAGCCACCATTTTGCATAGCTACAGGAAGAATCCACGTGCGTTGTCTTATGATTATTAAGATCAGGAAATATGTTTCTCACTGGCGAAGATGTTCAATTAGGGGGATCCCCGTTTTCCAAGCATAGAGAAGGGAGGGCATGGCCGTGGCTGAGAAGACCCGAAGCTTCGTGTAAAGCGACAGACCAGGTAGCTTCCACACAGCGTTACGCAACCGATTAAAAGATAATGCCGTTCGACTGATTCAAAGTGAGACCTCTGCTGTCAAACTGTAGCCGGTCATGAGCACCCTGCCTAGGTATGGAAAAACTCTCGACTATCTCAATAAATGCCCCATCACCAATTGGGGTTTGTGGAGGTGGAGTGTTTGATGTCACAAAATACCCAGGCTGGTGCTTTGTTTTGGTGGGGCTGATGGTAAGGCCCCACCTCTTAGTGGCACACTTCAGGTTCATCAGCAGCGCCTCCAATTCCTCCTCTATGTGAGCAGCAATCGCCAGATCATCAGCATAAGTAACATGATTGACCAATAGGGAGTCCTCTCCGGCCGAACAAAAGCTGTTTAGGCATGCGGTGGTTGGGCATGCAGGCTACATGACCCAGCCAACGTAGCCTTGCCTGCCGGAGGAGCTCGCTAATGGGACTTTGTCCAGATCTTTCAAGGATTCATGAGCTCCTAAATGTTTCCAACCAGCGAAGAAAGTCCCGTTAGGGGGGTCCACGTTTCACAAGCATAAAGAAGGGAGGGAATGACTGTGACCGAGAAGACCTGAAGCTTCGTGTGGAGCGACGGACCAGTTAGCTTCCACACAGCGTTAGGCAGCTGGTGAAAGGATAATGCCACTCGACTGATTTGGAGTGAGACCTCTGCTGTCAAATTAGAGCCGGTCATGACCACACTTCCCAGGTATGGGAAACTCTCCACTTTCTCCACAACTGCTCCATCACCAATTGGGAGTTGTGGGGGTGGAGTGTCCGATGGTACAAAATACCAAGGCAGGTGCGTAGTTTTTGTGGGGCTAATGGTAAGGCCCCACCTTTTAGTGGCAAGCTCCAGGTTCAGCAGCCGTGCCTCCAAATCCTCCTCTGAGTGAGCAGCAATTACCCGATCATAAGCATACATAACGTGGTTGAGCAATATGGAGCCACCCCTTGAATCGACCAGCCTCCCACTGTATCTGTACCAGATGAAAAGTCCTCACGAACCATGTGGTCGAAATATATGTTAAATAATGTGAGAACCAGAGGACATCCATATCACACCCCAAGGTGAACAGGGAATGGCTCCAACTCCCGGCCACGTAGATTTACCTGGGCCTGCCCACCATAATGAAGTTCCTTAATGATTTTGAGCACAGAGTCTGGATCGCCTTCTGTACTTCCTCAATAGATGGCACTTCAGCCAGCCACTCACAACAGGTGACTACTTCTTCCAATATTTTAGGCACCACAGCCTCAGCAGGATCATCCCCACTTTGCCCCAATATGTTTTCAGGAGGAGGGATTCCCCCTAATCCAAAGACTTCACAGAAATGATCAGAAAATCTGCAAACCTGCTCCTGGGTGTCAGAGATTAAATCCCCCATCTTTTTGTTCCGCTGATGGAGTTAAAAAGTGATTTGTGATCGCGGGCTGCTGCGGCAAACTCCATCTCCTCAGCAACGCACGACCACCAGCCATCCTTGCAGCGCGAAGTGAAGGCTGCGGCAAACCTCCTCATTCTCCGATGTGGGATGCTGTAGACGTTGTGAGTGGGCCTGTCACTTTTTCTCAGCTAGCCGAAACACCTCCTACATCAGACAGGGTCTCCGAGGAGGCTCAGACTGTGTACCCAAAGCAGCCATTGCAGCTGCACGAGTCACAGTCCTAAACCTCACCCCATTTCCTCTCGGCATCTGGAAGATGCCAACTCCAGTCGCAAGCGATGATTAAATTCCCACTTGCAACTTTCATCAGCGAGCTGAGACCAGGCTACTGTGGGTTTGAATGGGGTCCTGGGTGTACACCCACCACGGGAGTGAAAGAATGACAGGCGCATCTTACATATGACAAGCGGATAGTCAGTGGGCAGATCAGCTCCACGGTAGGTTCTGGTGTCAAGGAAATTGGCACTCATCTGCTGTTCCGTCACGATATAGTCCAGCAGATGTTCTTGCTTGGACCCGGAGTTCATCCATGATGTTGTGTGGATGCGCCGATGCCAGAAGAGAGTGTTAGTAATTACAAGCCCATGGGCTGCACAGAAAGTCTAGCAGCCTCCTACCGTTGTGTTTGAGCTGATCTGGTCCATGCTTTCCAATCACTCCAGCCCAGGTGCCAGCATCGTGACCAACTCGGGCATTGAAGCCTCCCAACAAGATTACTCTATCCCAAGGGCCCACTTTAGCTAGCACCTGTGACAGGAGGTCATAGAAGGTATTTGACTCATCGGCCTTGCCTGCATCCTTCCACTGATGTTCGTCTTCGGTGGTGGCATAAGTTACCACCACCACCACCACCACTCCATGGGCTTACAGCTTCCCACACCTCACTGCCATGTTCCCACGCCCCTTTCATTATTTTGTTCAGAAGAAGAGCCGCTCAATGTTGTTTCGTAGTCTCCTGCCCCGAGTGGAGGATTATCCACACATCATGGTGGCTGGTGCCAGAGCCGGTCCACCGGGCCTCCTGAATGCCGCAGAGATCCAGGCGGTACCGGTCCAGCTCCCGACAGAGGAGTGGCAGCCTCTACCCCGCAGTGAGCGTTCGAACATTCCACGTAGGCCACCCGCAGTGGCTTTTTGCTGTTTCTGGAGGAACTCCAATGGTAAGGATTCAGTCTCCTGGCTCTGCCTCGTCGGATCTTCTTCACGAAAAGGTCAAAATGCAATGCTAAGCGGTGTCCAAAAGTTGGGCACACCACGAAAGCGTGTGAACCACGGATCGCCTCCCGGCGCGTTGCGTTGCGCTGTTCGTTGGGAAGGCAATGAAGAGCGCACAACGAGCTTACATTTAACTGCTGAGCTAATGGGGGGGGGTTGAGCCGGGCCCAGGCTTTTCCTGCACAGGTTACTTTGCCAATTCGCGTATAAGAAAGACCAACTGCTTTACACGTTTAGTGGTCGAATTATTTCTGTGGTCTGCATATTGTTAATGTATGAAATATTTCATTATTAATTGAATAAGGACGTGTTATTTCGCTCAAGTAGTATTAGCAGGAGCTGCGGGAGGCGCTACGGATGTTTGACGTTACGTATTTAAACGTTTCCTGTGAAATGCTTGTTAAATAATAATCACGTTGAATGATGCTGAGTGCGATAAGCAGCTGCTAATCACGACAGAGACGTGGGGCTCACGTCAGGACCAAGACATACAGCTGTGGCGTTGTGACGTTGTCGGGTTATCTCCGATCGCTTTTGCAGGTTTCACAATTTTCCCTTCCGACGAGGGCTTTTGAGACGACGTGTTTGCCATTCCCCAAAACTCACAAACCCCCCCCTACCATCGTCAAGTCATCCCACTTCTCCCCGGAGGACATCGTCTCACAGCTCCATGATTTTATTGGTGTTGTCTAGAAGGCCGACCTGTTGCCCCCTCCGCCCACCCCCCCGACCTCGATGAAAGGATTAACGATGGGAGGAGAGGAAACAGGCAGCACCGTCTACAGAAGGAATGAGGGAGGGAAGGAATGAGGGAATCAGAGAGGGAAGGAGGGAGGGAAGGAGCGAAGGAATGAGGGATGGAAGGAGCGAAGGAATGAACGAAGGAGAGAATGAAGGGGAAGGAATGAATGAGGGAATGAAGGGAAAGGAAGGAAAGAATGAATGGGGGAAGGAATCAGGGAATCAGGGAGGGAAGGAGGGAGGGAAAGAGCGAAGGAATGAGGGATGGAAGGAGCGAAGGAATGAACGAAGGAGAGAATGAAGGGGAAGGAATGAATGAATGAGGGAAGGAATGAGGAAACGAAGGGGGCGTCGCAAGTGGGTTGTCCGCACCGTGAAGGAGAGGCAGCGGTGGAGGTCACCGCCGCTGGGATGGAGCACCACGCCCGCCTCCCCTTCTCCCACCACGGTGTGGTTCTGCGCCACGTGGCTGGTATCTTGCCAGTCCTTGTAGTGGAGCGTCGCTCGGAACGTCACCTCCCCGGGCACGCCCAGCAGCGAGAAGCAGAGCCGCTCCGCTGATAGCGCATGCAGCTCGGACGGCACGAACACCAGGTAGTGCCTAGCGCCACGCACACAGACAACAGCTAGTGCCTAGCGTCACTCACACAGACACCAGCTAGTGCCTAGCGTCACTCTTACAGACACCAGCTGGTGCCTAGCGTCACTCACACAGACAACAGCTAGTGCCTAGCGTCACTCACACAGACAACAGCCAGTGCTTAGTGTCACTCACACAGACACCAGCTAGTGCCTAGCGTCACTCTCACAGACACCAGCTAGTGCCTAGCGTCACTCACACAGACACCAGCTGGTGCCTAGCGTCACTCTCACAGACACCAGCTAGTGCCTAGTGTCACTCTCACAGACAACAGCCAGTGCCTAGTGTCACTCTCACTGACACCAGCTAGTGCCTAGCGTCACTCTCACAGACACCAGCTGGTGCCTAGCGTCACTCACACAGACAACATCTAGTGCCTAGCGTCACTCACACAGACACCAGCTGGTGCCTAGCACCACGCACACAGACAACAGGCAGTGCCTAGTGTCACTCTCACAGACACCAGCTAGTGCCTAGCGTCACTCTCACAGACAACATCTAGTGCCTAGCGTCACTCACACAGACACCAGCTAGTGCCTAGCGCCACGCACACGGACAACAGCTAGTGCCTAGCGTCACTCACACAGACAACAGCTAGTGCCTAGCGTCACTCTCACAGACACCAGCTAGTGCCTAGCGTCACTCTCACAGACACCAGCTAGTGCCTAGCGCCACGCACACGGACAACAGCTAGTGCCCAGCGTCACTCTCACAGACACCAGCTAGTGCCTAGCGTCACTCACACAGACAACAGCTAGTGCCTAGCGTCACTCTCACAGACACCAGCTAGTGCCTAGCGTCACTCTCACAGACACCAGCTAGTGCCTAGCGTCACTCACATAGACACCAGCTAGTGCCTAGCGCCACGCACACGGACAACAGCCAGTGCCTAGCGTCACTCTCACAGACACCAGCTAGTGCCTGGTGACACTCACACAGACACCAGCTAGTGTCTAGCGTCACTCACACAGACACCAGCTAGTGCCTGGTGACACTCACACAGACACCAGCTAGTGATTAGCTAATCATAGGGGCGCCGAAAGACAAGGAACCAAAACCTGAAATCAAGGCGTTTGTGCCAGGCTAGGTGCACGTTGAGGCCACGTGAAGTGTCGAACACACGCTGGTAGGAGGTCACGGGGCAGACTCAGTAGGTGCCACGGGGTCGACTGACTGAGATGAGTGGCCGATGCACCACCTGTGCCCCCTACTGTGCCAACCTGCTGTGCTTTAGCCACCCGGCACTCCGCTCGTTGTTGTGAGCGTCGCTCCTCTGCCCTCCGTTGATGTTGGAGGGCGACTGCCTCCAACTGCCCAGTAGCAGCGTCCTTCATGAGCCTCCTCCACAGAGGCCGATCTTGACACCGCTGGTACCGGTCATCGGCAAGATCACTCAAGCTCCACAACCTCCTGTACCACATCACTCCATCTCTTCTCTAGCCCGTGCCGCGCCTGTTTAGCCCCCTCGATCTGGCCGAACAAAAACTGTTTCGGCATGCGGTGGCTGGGCATGCGGGCTACATGACCCAGCCAACGCAGCCTTGCCTGCCGGAGGAGCTCACCGATGGGACCTTGCCCCGATCTTTCAAGGATTTGTGAGCTCCTCACACAATCCAGCCTGGTTAAACCCAGGATGGATTCTAGGCAGGCCAGCCTAAATGTCTCTAACCGGCGAAGATGTTCCATTAGGGGGGTCCACGTTTCGCAAGCGTAGAGAAGGGAGGGAATGACCGTGGCCGAGAAGACCTGAAGCTTAGTGCGGAGCGACAGACCAGGTAGCTTCCACACAGCGTTTACGCAACCAATGAAAAGATGTTGCCGCTCGACTGATTCGGAGTGAGACCTCTGCTGTTAAAGTGACACAAACAGACACACACACAGCTGGAGCAACTGCAGCAGCAGCAGCAGCCGCCGCCTATCTCCATCCCCCGACTCACCCGGAGGTCTGCTCGTCCGCGCTCACGACAGCGGCCAGGGCACAGAGGAGGAGGAACGCGTGCCCGGCCATACCCATGGCTCTTGCGTGGGTGAGTGGGTTGGATTGGGTGCGTGGGTGGTTGGGCGCGTGCCTCGTGTTGGGAGCACCGTCCGGTTGATCGGTCGAGACGTTAATTTGGGAGAGGTCGAGAGGTTTTTATATGTGGGGAGTTCGGAGGAAGGGAGGGAGGGAGGGGGGAGAAGCGTGGTGATGCTGAGAGAGGGGTGGGGCTGGGGTAGGGGGCGTGGTGATGCTGGAGAGGGGTGTGGCTGGAGTGGTAGCGTGGTGATGCTGAGAGAGGGGTGGGGCTGGGGTAGGGGGCGTGGTAATATGCTGAGAGAGGGGTTGGGTTGGGGTGGGGGCGTGGTGATATGGTGAGAGAGGGGTGGGGCTGGGGTAGGGGGCGTGGTAATGCTGAGAGAGGGGTGGGGCTGGGGTGGGGGGCGTGGTGATGCTGAGAGAGGGGTGTGGCTGGGGTGGGGGGCGTGGTGATGCTGAGAGAGGGGTGGGACTGGGGTGGGGGGCGTGGTGATGCTGAGAGAGGGGTGGGGCTGGGGTAGGGGGCGTGGTAATGCTGAGAGAGGGGTGGGGCTGGGGTGGGGGGCGTGGTGATGCTGAGAGAGGGGTGGGGCTGGGGTGGGGGGCGTGGTGATGCTGAGAGAGGGGTGGGGCTGGGGTGGGGGGCGTGGTGATGCTGAGAGAGGGGTGGGGCTGGGGTAGGGGGCGTGGTGATGCTGAGAGAGGGGTTGGGGTGGGGTGGGGGGCGTGGTGATGCTGAGAGAGGGGTGGGGCTGGGGTGGGGGCGTGGTGATGCTCGAGAGGGGTGGGGTTGGGGTAGATGGCGTGGTGATGCTGAGAGAGGGGTGGGGCTGGGGTGGGGGCGTGGTAATGCTGGAAAGGGGTGGGGCTGGGGTAGGGGGCGTGGTGATGCTGAGAGAGGGGTGGGGTTGGGGTGGGGGCGTGGTGATGCTCGAGAGGGGTGGGACTGGCGTAGGGGGCGTGGTGATGCTGAGACAGGGGTTGGGTTGGGGTAGGCGGCGTGGTGATGCTGGAGAGGGGTGGGGTTGGGGTGGGGGCGTGGTGATGCTGGAAAGGGGTGGGGCTGGGGTAGGGGGCGTGGTGATGCTGAGAGAGGGGTGGGGTTGGGGTGGGGGCGTGGTGATGCTGGAGAGGGGTGGGGCTGGGGTAGGGGGCGTGGTGATGCTGAGAGAGGGGTGGGGCTGGGGTGGGGGCGTGGTGATGCTGAGAGAGGGGTGGGGCTAGGGTAGGGGGCGTGGTGATGCTGAGAGAGGGGTGGGGCTGGGGTGGGGGCGTGGTGATGCTCGAGAGGGGTGGGGTTGGGGTAGATGGCGTGGTGATGCTGAGAGAGGGGTGGGGCTGGGGTGGGGGCGTGGTGATGCTGGAGAGGGGTGGGGCTGGGGTAGGGGGCGTGGTGATGCTGAGAGAGGGGTGGGGTTGGGGTGGGGGCGTGGTGATGCTAAGAGAGGGGTGGCGTTGGGGTGGGGGCGTGGTGATGCTGGAGAGGGGTGGGTCTGGGTTAGGGGGCGTGGTTATACAGAGAGAGGGGTGGGGCTGGTTTAGGGGGCGTGGTGATGCTCGAGAGGGGTGGGGCTGGGGTAGGGGGCGTGGTGATGCTGAGAGAGGGGTGGGACTGGCGTAGGGGGCGTGGTGATGCTGAGAGAGGGGTGGGGCTGGGGTAGGGGGCGTGGTGATGCTGAGACAGGGGTTGGGTTGGGGTAGGCGGCGTGGTGATGCTGGAGAGGGGTGGGGTTGTGGTGGGGGGCGTGGTGATGCTAGAGGAGAGGGGTGGGGCTGGGTTAGGGGGCGTGGTGATGCTAAGAGAGGGGTGGGGCTGGAGTGGGGGCGTGGTTATACAGAGAGAGGGGTGGGGCTGGGTTAGGGGGCGTGGTGATGCCCGAGAGGGGTGGAGCTGGGGTAGGGGTCGTGGTGATGCTCGAGGAGAGGGGTGGGCCTGGGGTAGGGGGCGTGGTGATGCTGAGAGAGGGGTGGGGCTGGGGCGGGGGCGTGGTGATTCTGGAGAGGGGTGGGGCTGGGGTAGGGGGCGTGGTGATGCTGGAGAGGGGTGGGGCTGGGGTAGGGGGCGTGGTGATGCTGCGAGAGGGGTGGGGCTGAGGTAGAGGGCGTGGTAATGCTGAGAGAGGGGTTGGGTTGGGGTAGGGGGCGTGGTGATGCTGAGAGAGGGGTTGGGCTGGGGTAGGGGCGTGGTAATGCTGAGAGGGGTTGGGCTGGGGTAGGGGGCGTGGTGATGCTGGAGAGGGGTGGGGCTGGGGTAGGAGGCGAGGTGATGCTGGAGAGAGGTGGGGCTGAGGTAGGGGGCGTGGTAATGCTGAGAGAGGGGTTGGGTTTAGGTAGGGGGCGTGGTGATGCTGAGGGGTTGGGCTGGGGTCGGGGGCGTGGTAATGCTGAGAAAGGGGTGGGGTTGGGGTGGGGGCGTGGTGATCCTGGAGAGGAGGGTGGAGGTAGCGGCAGCCTCTCTCTGCGCTCCGAACCCGGCGACCCGGTGCTCGATTCCCGCTCACAGCCAACAACGGTGACGATTATCTAAACCGGGTCCTGGGCCTCCCCTAGGTCGACTCGGCCTCAAATTAGTGCCTGGTGCGGTGTATAAACATCGCCACTGGGGAGACAAAGGCGGCCGGACGTGGTGTTGGCCACCCACCTCCCCCCTCGTGTGCCATGCCGACCTTTATAGGTGCTAGCTAACAGCACTTGCCCCTACAGTCTAAGACTATACCGGGGATCTTTGTCTTTGGTATGTCCCCGAGTGTGGCGTGTGAAGGATGCTGCTGCTGCTGCTGGGGGCATTTGGAGGCAGTCGCCCTCCAACAACAACAGAGGGCGGAGGAGCGACGCTCACAACATCGAGATGAGCGCCGGGCGGATAAAACGCCGAAAGTTGGCGCAGTAGGGGGGCACAGGTGGTGCATCTGCCACTCATCTCAACCATTCGGCCCGTGGCACCTGCTGGGACTGCCCCGTGACCTCCTGCCGGCGGGCGTTCGATACTTCACGTGGACTCAACGTGCACATAGCCTGGCACAGGCGCTGTGGTGACGTCACCGCCACTTAGTGGCGAACGGCGGTTGATGTTGTTGTTGTTGTTGTGTGCTTCGAGGAGTGGAGGCACAGCAGTTAGCGTGATGCACAACAAAGCCAGCCAATCAATCACTAGTAGCGCAGCACACCGGTGTGTTGGAGAGCAAATGCACAACATTTGCAATGTAAATGAGAGAAAATCCACAACATTTACTAATTGGCTGTGTCGGGTGGTGGCGGGTTTAACGACACGTCGGTATTTACGAGATCTATCCCCAAAAAAACGCACCTACCGTATAGACCTCCGGCTTTATTGTTAGAAAAGGTGAAAGCTTATTCTTCATTTTCATACTCTGACGCTGGAAAAAAGGGTCCCGTTAATTTAAAATAAATAATCACCTCTGAAAAGTGACTGTGGCTGGTTGGATGTGTCAAGGTATAATAAACGGACATGTGCATCTGTTTTTCATTCATTAATGCCCCCCACCACCACCCACCCTTCACACGTGAGAGCTCATTAGTGACGTCATCACACCTACCCCTCTATTTAAGGAAAGAAACAGCGGGGAATTTCTCCACGAATATGTCTGTCCGCCTAATGAAGCGTATGGTAATTACCGGCGAAACGTCGTACTCGGATTCGAAATGTTGTGGATTTGCTCTCCAACACACAACCGGTGTGATGTACTAGTGTACTACACTATGCACTACACTACTATACACTACACTACTATACACTACACTGCTATACCATACACTACACTACTATACACTACAATATAAACTACACTACTATACACTACACTACTACACTATACTATACACTACACTGCTATCCACTAGTGCTGTACTAGTAACAAATTGCCCACGTTCGGTTTACGTGACAAACCCCCATTAATGATTGGCTGTGTCGGGCGGTGGAGGGTTTAGCGACACAACATTCATATATTTACGCGATCTAACCCACAAAACCTCTGTTATGGACCAGAAGAGTTGTAGACTCGCCTCACAGACACCCCTGTGTGGTTTGGAGTTGAAATAGCTCCAAAGTCGACCCCTTCCACCACCCAATACCAACTCATTCCACTACCCAATACCAACTCATTCCACTACCCAATACCAACTCATTCCACTACCCAATTCTGCCTCTTCCACTACCCAATACCAACCCCTTCTACTACCCAATACTGATATCTGAGACTTACTCAGAGACCCATAGACTTATTCAGAGATCCATAGACTTGCAACAGAGATCTACAGATTTACTCAGAGACCCATAGACTTACTCAGAGATCCACAGACTTACTCAGACACCCAAAGACTTACTCAGATATCAATAAACTTACTCAGCAATCCATATACTTACTCAGAGATCCATAGACTTTCTTAGAGGTCCATAGACTTACGTAGATATCCATAGACATACTAAGAGATCCACGCACTTACTGAGAGTTCCATAGACTTACTCAGATATCCATAGACTTCCTCAGAGATCCTTAGACTTACTCAGAGATCCATAGACTTACAACAGAGATCCACAAACTTACTCAGACACCCAAAGACTTACTCAGATATCAATAAACTTACTGAGCAATACATATACTTACTCAGAGATCCATAGACTTACTCAAAGATCCATAGACTTACTCAGAGATCCATAGACTTCCTCAGAGATCGATAGACTTCCTCAGAGATCCATAGACTTACATAGAGATACCCATACTCAAATAGAGAGACACAGACTTTCACAGAGAACCATAGACTCACAGATACACAGACTGACACAGGGTGATGGTGACTGGGTGTATAGACAGACATGACCATTATAACTCTTTGGGTCTTTCGGTAAAGTCACGTAGGTATAAAATAAAATTAAATCACGACGTTTCGATCGCAACACAAGCGGCCGTCCACAGGCGGAAAAAAATATAATCCAGCAGTGGAACAGCTGAACTATCGAGAGAGCTGTTACAACAAGGAGGTTATATACGTGGCGATGTGCGAGCAAGCGGGGCCTGAGCTGGAAAGAAATCCCACCACCTCGGACGCAAGCACGTCAGTTGTGTTAATGAGGGAGATTAGGGAAAGAGAGAGAGATTAGTGAG